ACTTTCTTCGGTAAAATTTGCCCATCAAAAGTGAGAACCACAGTTTGGATAGACTCTACGGTTCATCCGTCTTGCCTTAATTGCAATCCCACACCCAGCGGAATCCTTAGTGTTCCTGTTGAGAATAGTAAATAATTATAATCTTGATAGATGTTTCTTAAGCATATGTGGTGCGATCTAGTGGCTCCAGTGTTAAATTGTACACATTATGATTGTTGGCAATTATTACTTATCTATGACAAAGCGCTGGTCTATGAAAAAAATAATAATATCTTTCTCTGTCCATTCAATGGGAACATCCCTCACAATGTCCATTCTTCTTATGTTGAACTGAGGGATTGAGGTGAAATAATTTTGTGGTACAACGCAGTCAACAAGGAAACTATTCGCGTCTTGACTTACTTGACTTATAGTCCTATGTCACATAGATGGTGCAGAGGGCGTTCACAGAGGTTCTCCATTTCAATCGGTTTTGAGCTTCTCGCTTCATCTCGCTCCACGTCAATCCGATGCTCGCCGCTTCTGCTTTCACAGTACGATGTCAGGTTTGCCGAGAGCGGCCACGTTTCCTTTATCCTGGGGATTCCAATCCAGCGCTTGCTTGGAAATATGGTCGGGACCCCTTTGGAGTGTACGACCTATCCATCCCCACTTGCGACGTTTGATCTGACGGTCGATCGGAGTTTCGCGGCATCTCTCCTAGATCTACATTAATTAAAAATAAGTAAAAATTAAGTAAAAATTACACCCAAAGTTAAAATCACAAAAAAAAATTTAAATATCTTTGCTGCATTTCTTTTTATGTATTGCACGTATAAACTATAATATAAACTTCAATTTCATCTACAATTGTTTTAACAAAATATTTTCATGTAATAAGGTAAAATATAAATATGCCTTTTTTGAGGTGGGAAAACGGTCTATTCAATAAAAAAGATTTTTTTTAATTCGAACCAGGAGTTCCTGAGATTGGCGCATTCAAACAAACAAACAATGTCTTCAGCTTTATAATATTAAGTATAAATTCTTGTGATGTCTTTGATATCTTCCGATTTGAGGAGTTTCGCAAGTACTATTTGTTTTTTTTTGGGACAAGCCCACTACGATGTCCCAAAACCGCTGCAACTCCTGTAAGCCAGGATCTACAATAGATTCAACCATAAAAACACCGGAACACTGAAGTCCGGTGCGTCCCAGGGACATGAATAACTGTCTTGGTTTCTGAATGAAGCGAATCAGAAGTATAGGAGGAATATAAGAGGAGAAGAAAAAAAAATTAGTTCGATAGTTTCCACTTCACTCGATGAATTATTGCAGAAAAAAGGTAAAGGCACAAAAATCTCTACAACTGGGTGAAGCCCAGTCGCCAAACACCACGGAAATTTGACTAAAAACTAAGTGGGTCCTATAATAATATGTGAGCTGTTATACTTGCTTCCATTAATAGGTATGGCTAAACCACCTAAACGCACGGAAATTTGTTCTAGATTCCACAATATCCATATAATAAGCTACACCTGACTAAACAATTAAATTGTTTAAGACAGTGTTACGTTCATATAGCCAGAGATCACATTCCCAGAATATGTGATGGGGGAGCTGCTCGTATTGCAACTCCACTGTCAAACATTGGCACCATAGTGAATCAAAATTAAAGTAAATTAAAGTAGCCGTGGCCAGTAAGAAATTTATTAGGCAACACAATGATCCACCTCCAACCATATCTCCAGCCGCTCATGCACGGGTGGGAAGAACTGATAAAGGTGGCGCCCTTAATAGAAGTTTCCCATCTACACTGCCAATCATCCCAGACGTCCGTTAATGGCTTGAACAATCTAGCAATTTTGTTTCGATCACCTTGTGCTAGAAAGCTTGCAGACAAATTAGGTCTCGCATTATAGTACATAGCAGCACGTCGCTGCACCCCAAGATCGACCGGAAGTACTCCCGTGAGCATAGGTCCCAGTCCCATAGGCTTATTTTTTTATTACACAGGAAAATCTAGGCTAGTCGCTGGCCTTGGAGAAGTTTCCGCCGTACCGCGCTTATTGTGGCTCTATCAGCCCCTCTATCCCAGCTAGCATACGCATCCCCGATAGGTCGATCTGTATATAAACAAACTGATTCGCATTACTGACACACCCATTATGAGTCAAAAAAACATTAGGGAATTACTAATAGTAAGTCGTAAAGTCGTAACTAGGAGCGGGCGCGACGCACGCTCTGGAAAGTTCGATACAGCAGGACGTTGGACTTATGTACTTCATTATTATTGTTACAGTTAAGAACAGATGTAACTCCCAAGACTTGTGGAAACTTCCGTGCCCTCTGCACTGGCGAGAAGGGCTTCGGTTACAAGGGATCCACTTTCCACTCTGTTATCCCCAACTTCATGCTCCAAGGAGGTGACTTCACAAATCACGATGGTACTGGTGGCAGGTCCATCTACGGTATGAAGTTCAAACACGAGAACTACGTCCTGAGGCACACTAGACCTGGAGTCGTGACAATGGCCAATTTTGGTCGTTACGCCAATGGATCCCAGTTCTTCATTACCACCATGAAGGCTTCCTGTTTTGATGGCAGATACGTTGCCTTTGGCTGTGTTGTTGAAGGTATGGATGTTATCAAGCAGATTGAATCCTATGGCTCCCGGTCTGGCAAGACCTCAAAGAAAATCATCATTGCTGACTGCGGTCAACTCTCCTCTAATTAACAATATTTTTTAAGTTTAACACTATGTCCTCCCAAGTAATACCTTCCCAGTCTTCAAGAGAATTGAATATGGTTCATTTCAATTATGATAAAATTGAATGCTATGTTTTAGGTTACAACTGGGGATTGCATTTATTTCTGTGCATTTTTTATTCATAATAAATTAACTTATATTTATAACGTTTGTATTATATATTGTATTTTTAATAAACCCCTGTACTTTAAATAGCCATCAACAACAGCTGCTACTGACTAAAACTTCCAGTTGATGTAAAAAATGTATAATTTTGTTAATATCAACTATATTAAGAGTCGAAGAAGTTCATTTACTTTGTCATGTAATTTTCCTGTAACACATAAACATTTATGTTTCATGTGTGTACTGTACGTACATGGGATGCCAGTGCCCAAAAGCAATAATTTGTGATTTCGTAAGTAAACTAACCTTGATCAAACATTAGCGTGATTTTACTTAGGTAGAAACCTCGTAGTCGAGTCGGTTTCTTCGTGTTTTTTATCAGGTACACTAGAAAAGTGAGAAAAACAAGGGAGTGGATTTTTACTTCAAGAAATTTACCCTGGTGGCAATACTCAGCACCGTATGTAGATATTCACCATGCTCCATACTTATACCTAGTTAGGACCTACTACAGTTACAACACGGATACGAGTAGTATTTACCTACTTACTATATACATGTAAGTTATATAAACGTATCCGCTCAATGACCTTTGCGGTCATGTAGGACATTCAACAACGAATAAAGTAAGCTACATTAAAACGAATGGGTAAGTAAGTATATAGGTATTTACACGTTCGTCAAAATTTTCATATTCAAATGATAGACCTATTATGTATATTGTTCATCTTCGATAGAAGATCCCACGGTACCTACACCGTTGGTTGGATACTCTAAGTAGGTACTTAACTCGTCGAGTACCGATTTTGTAGACACAATTATAGAACAATAGGTTGCGGTCACCGGTGACCGCTTGGTGTTTGACAGTTTAATACTCAGAAATAAATATCATAGTTACTTAGTTGTGTTAGGTTCTCATTTTTTTTAGAGCGAGAGGAAATGTTAGACTCTTACTGACTAAAAACCACTCTGTTCCTGCTCTTGCCTCGAGCCGGTGTCCCGGTAACCCGCAAGGATGTTCGCAGCCCTGATTCCCACTTCTTACTTAGTATCAACTTATCAAGGATTACACGAACAGCAAAATTTAATAGTATTGATAGTTAGGAAAATATTAAAGTATATTTTAATCAATAACATATAGGAAAGGGTGTGAGATGGATATAGAATAGTAAGAGATCATTAAATCGTAATTATATAGGTACAATGAGCAACGGAGCAACCTGGATACCGTATTCTCTCTGGTGAAATTTGCTGGGTTATTCTTCGAGGAGCGACCTTAAATCTTAGGTCCATTCCGAGGGCTACCTCACTTACTGCGCTAATCCTGTCTTAGTGGAAATCAGATATAGGTAACATATAGTTAGAACCAATTACCTACGTAGATAGGTAATTAAATAAAAAAAGAAAACTTTCTGTTCTGATAAATATCTTTATTTCGATAAATTCAACGTAACTAAAATATAGGTAACCTCAATGAACTAGGTAATTAAAATGTGTCTATGTCTAAAATATTGAATTGGGTAGTTTCTTTAATCAAAAATATAGTGTTTCTGACTGTTCAATACAGTAAAGGAATTTATGACCAACTTAATTTTAGCATTTATCCTGCAAATTTTTACGAAATAAGTAGGTATACACAATCTCATACATTTATAAATTCTTATAAAACTGTCGTTTTTGACAGTTCGAAAAAAATATTGAATTTCACTTAGGAGTTTGTTGGTAATTATCCAAAATGTTGATTTTTAATGTGGAGATAATTTAGTAGGAATGATTCTTATTTTATATTTAGATGTACTACGAGTAAGGTTTACCGAAATGTTTAAGGATTACCGAACATGAACCTGATTTCGGTTACAAGAAATATATAGACTGGCCTTTACTGCCGTTAGCCTGTAATTATTACGTCTGATAGATGTTATCAATTCCTGAATCGAAGCCGTATTGGTTGTATAAATATTTTAACGGATGTGGTCTGCACCTAATATCAGTAAAGATAAGCAACTAGTTGATAGACTTATTATAATACGGACAATTTTATTCACCATTATGGTAGGTAAATTATTCATAATAATATATTAGTTTTAAAATAAAGGATATTATAAATAAATAAAATAAAATTCATTTATTACAGGTGACCATAACCCATATTATTACATTGTTATTGTTAATCATAAGTGTAATAACAATATGTAGTAGGTAATTCAAGACTAAAATTTTAGGTGAATTCAGTTATATAATGGAGTTCTCATTTTTATTCACGTGTGGGTTCATCATCGATGGAACCGAAAACCCAAAGGTTGGTTGTAAATATTGGAATCGTATCTACGTTTTTTTCTTTATTTTCTAAGACAAATCAAATAGATGACAAATAATTGTATATTTTAATAATTAAATATCTACCTAGCCTAATTATAGTTTTTTTTAACACACTTTAATAGAATTTAGATATCTAACAGCTAAAATATTTTTCATTATGAGACAAAGGAATTGTTAATATGATGCCTGACACAAAAAAATATTTCTTAATAAATTTATGGCCGAAAGAACTTGAATATATATTTTTTTAATCCTCCTAACTATGAACACTACCTACATTTAGATAATATGTTGAAAGATACGAAAATATTATTTATTATTCTTATTGAAAATAGCATCTATCACTATGAAGATGTTAGCTGAACTTTAGGTAAGTAGATACAAGCAGTTAGGTGAGGAACATTATTTGAAAAACTTGAAAAGCTTTCTCTATCTACTTAACAGCTCTAAAAATTCATGCAATTATTTTTTATTTATTTTTGGTATCGATTCAACACTTTTGTTGCTTGCTTTGTGAGAAATTCAAATTGGAAATCCGCATGAGTTACTTAATGTCTATGATCATCATTTTAGCTTGGTTCCTTTTTCAAATTCGAATCGTTTTGGGATAATGGAAAGGCCATTACCTAAGGGTGGTATCATACTATTCTATTATAAACATTAACTCGTCGAGTACCGTCATTATAGACACAATTATAGAACAATAGGTTGCTGTCACCGGTGACCGCTTGGTGTTTGACAGTTTATGACAAATTATGCATTGTTTATCGGACATATTGCTTGCATGACCACGTGGTTGTCGGTAATGTACGTAAATGTGATACCGCCCTTAGGACTCTACACATTGAAACAATGTATACCAACCAGCTTTTAGTGTCAGTAAGCATGACTATCTTAGTCAGCACTTGTCAAATTCATGATCTGTGGTTGTTCAGTGTGTAGGGTAGTCCACATCTGGTCCAAAGAATATTAGTATCAACTGTCATTTGAGATGGTCTCACAAAGAACGGGAGCTGAAACTTAACAGTACTGGCACAACGTTTCTATTAGGCACGCTCTTCAAACAATCCTTCTAGGATATGTAGATGTTATACTAACAAGATACTCCCATCCAATTCTTTGGTACAGATGTTAATGTTTAATCTAGGATGTTTAGTCATAAGACTAGGAATACGGCAACTGAAGTGATAATCAGAAGGTCTAGTAGGTGCATTTCTTCTGCGCCTGAGCCGTAGTTGCAGAGGGAAGTGGTGCAGCATGAGGTACAGGCGTAGAGTTTCGTGCGCTCCCCGATGACGATGCACCCCGGCTCGCAGTGTTTCGTACAGTTGCGTTCCAACGCCCACATTTTTGGCAGCGTCGTCGAATTCTCAGTTGACGTCGTGAACGAGAATCTCTTCACCTGCAATTTATTTTGCGACTGAAAAACTGTTTTGTACGTACGTATGTATGTATGTATGCAAGTTTGTATTGAAATGTTCTGGAATAATTTCGAGTTTATTTTTGTGTACTGTCATGAGCGTCATGAATAAGTCGACAATCTAAAAACGCACTCAAAATTCGGGAATTGAACCCTCTTGGGTTCAAGATTCAAGCTAGATCGTGTGTACTTATACATCCAAAGAGGTTTATACATTTATTCGATACCAATACATACACAAACATAGAAAAAACTCTTACTATATATAATCCTGCGATCCTGCGACCACCAGAAACCTATTGCTACGAAGTGAAACTCGCAGTCATTGTATGAACTAAGCATGCTAGAACACACATTACACACACGTATAGACACAAAGGACACACGCACACACACACACACACACCTACATGAATAAGTAGTACCCACTGTCATTACCATGCACATCCTGCGATCATTGTGACACTTGTGTATGAGTGCGGAGTTGTTGTGTCGTAGGTCAGCACAGCGGTCGTCTGGCACTTCTGCCAGGCACTTGTAGCACCACAGCTCATTGTTAGGTCTGGCTGCTGCTGACGTCACGTGGACACTGTCCCGAAGGAGGTCACATTCGCTTTCTGAAAAATACAAGGTGTCTATGGTATTATGATATATTTTTGTAAAGAAAGACGGTTTTGACCCTCGATTAAGTGATGAGGACCTAAGTAAATAAAAACATGGTAAAAAGATAACTAGTTTGCTATATAGTAAATTATTCTATTTTTTTTCAAAGTATGGCTTGCTGTTGAAGGTGATAATCTAACACTTTTTGCATTAATTGAAGTCAAAGGTAGAGTAAAAGTTAATTCATTTCATTTAGCTCAAGGACATTGGTAATCCAAAACCCTAAAGATATTACACTTATCGGTCCTAAGTTACATCCACGTAGAGGCCATATCATAGCGTAATATTTTATTTTAAAACATTTTACTATCTGTAGAAAGTATTGCAATTTCTTGTTAACTAATAATAAACGACACTGTTTCGATACAAAACAATGCAATACAGGCAAACTTTTAATATAGATTAATGTTATATTTCTCATAGGTACGCAAGCAGTGGATAGATACATAAATATAATATGAAATGATTACTTTATCAAATTAATATTTAATGGAAAAGCTCTCATCTGGCCATCTTAGAATGTAAACATTGATCTGTCAAGAAATATTTCTAATACCCAAGTATTCTTGAATTAGATTTGTAATTCCTAAAGTCCGAAATATTTGTGATGTTTTTAACATATAGTTTAATTAACAGCAGATAACTACAACATCAAAATAGATCCTAAACAGAATTTAGTCCAGAATCAAAACAAAGAACGCGAGCCATAGACAATCAACTTTGACATTTGCGGTCCAAGATTAGTGGTTTGGACTATGATAGGGATAGAGATCGCGAAACTAACAATAGCACTGATTTACCACTGTTTTAGGATATCACTTTACACACAATAATGAATTAAAAAGTTTATTTACATACCTGGGGCCAATAAAGGCAAGAAGAGCAGTATAAGGGAGCGCATGTTGGCTAACAATGCTCACTGCGCATGCCCCAGCTTCCGAGTATCGATCCTGTCTGGACCGGGACCTGTTGCAGGTCCCGGCTGGCTCCGCCCACCCTCCCCTCGGCTTCTCCCAAACACTTTGATCGAGTAAAACAATCTCAACTTTCAGAATTCTTTGGGAAATTATAACTTTGCCGGCGGTCGTTCCAGGAGGAACGTTTCTTAGAAGATAAACATAGAAATTCATTATTTTAATAAGGTATTGCAATTAAGTTTGAAAGTACGCCTCGTTGATCTTGTGGTTGGTAGCGTGGTAGAACTATGGGCGCGGGTTCCTGGGTCAATTCTCAGTCATGTAAGATCTTATTAAGCTCTCAAATGTGCGAATCCCAGTAAGTATGATTACAATCATAGATGAAACCAGGGAAGAAAATAAATTAGGTACAATTAAACAAAAGTTTATTGAATAACACACATTATGTTCTTACGTTGTCAGGAAATAGAGATAACTAATACAATTAGGTAGGAGACGAATGAGTAGGTTACATATCTTTCATTTCAGGAACACCTGATGTCTAATTAGTGATGTGAGTCATTAATATCATTAGGTACTAGCAAAAAGTAACTTTATGACTCTGAGCGACCCACGACCTAGAAATACATTAATATTTCAGAATACGAATGTACGTAGAAATTAGTTAATATACTAAATAAATGACGACGATTTTTGAAAATTAAATACCTATAACAGTGAACACTAACTTTTCAAAATGTGATTTCCTTAGTAATAAACCAGGATGCGCTCGATTACCGTTGCATGACTTGTGCATGTTAACTTGCGAGGCGAGTCCTATTTTCTACCAATTGGTTCTCAGTTGGCGGTGATTGCAAATTGTCTATAAGCCGGGAGTACGATCTGGCCCGATCATTTTACCGTCACTCTTCATTGAGCAGTCGCATTTAACTACGTAATTGGGTTTATTTCAATGCAATGCAACGAAGGACATTGGACCGGCAAAAGACTGTTTAGGCCTACTGTCCACGACGCATCATTTGATGATGCATGGCCTGTAGCCCGTAGTCGTGTACGTATTTGGGCGCTTATTCTTGAATCCAATTCCGATCGATCGACATTGACATTGTGAAATTTCGTACTCTTGAATTGCAACACTAGCGCCCATTGCATCCGTATTGCGTGGATATTGAATGAACTAAATAGTATTGAGTTTGGCTTTATATTCTGTACTCTGAATGCTACTTGAACAACTACGATAGGGGTTGTATAGTTCGGATAATTATTGAGATTTTATTGGATTGAAATTGCATTGAGATTGGTTTCAAGAGTGATGCGTTAAGTAGGTTTTATACGACTATCCAATGTTCGTAATGACACAATTATGTAATCATGAAGCTATCAGATTTCGTCGTACGTAGGTACTGACGAAAATCCATCAGATGAGAAACTCATTTACAGATAACAATGTATAAAGTTCCGTTCCAACTTTCTGTACGTTCCGTTCCGTACTTATTTAGAAAAACGTGCAATTACGTTCTGAGATCTATAAAACAAAATAAAACTGGTCTACATAATGTCGAGGGTAGGTAGGGTTGCAAATAAAGATAGGAACAATTTTATATGTACTTATCTAGATTTGTTATGTTATGAGTACCTATATATAACAAGATGAACAATGTCAACGTGAAATAAATTTTAGATAGAAATGGCGAAAAAGCAAAAGATTTTGAAAAGCGTCCATTAGACTTGCCTCCATGTATATTTATTATTCCATGTATTTACAAATAGCAACAGGACCGAAGGGCCCATGTGTACACAAACCCCATCGGAGGAGGTCATTCCGTTGAGTAAACACACCTCGGGACTCCGGAGTTTATTTTTGTGTGCATATGTTTATTGATGTTTATTATTAGGTACCTGGTACATATTATATTTGTTTAAGGTACCTAAGGGATTGGAGCTGTTCTACGATATTTTTTTTGATGGTGGAAAATCATCTAAACTATTCTCCTGCCTTGGGTTACGCGAGAGGCAGTGTTAGACTTTTACTGACTAAAAACCTCCCCGTTCATACTCCTGCTCTCCGTGCCGGAGTCCCGGCAACCCGTTAGGCCCTCCGTGGCTCCGTATTGGGTATTCTACGTCTAGGTTTCCATATGTAGGATTTTTTTCGAGGATTTATGTTTATAATGTTTTATTTTATTTTACACTTCATGTATAGTATAATAGTCTTTACCTTTTTCTTTTAGCCAGGATGAAAAATGAGGAGGTTTTGATGAAACTGCCATACTCATATTACCTAATTAATTATACCACGTTTTTCATACATACATATGAAATCAGGCGTAATGTTATGTACATTACGCCTGATTTCATAGGGGTATGCAGAGACTATTGGTCGCCAATTGCTTACTGCTTGCGTTTTTTTTTTTTTGTGTATTTTTCTTTTTTTTAGCATTAGGCCTCCGGTGTCCGAGGTTTGTGAGTCGTCACACGTCGAAAAAACTCACAGAGTGTTGCTTGTTTCACGCGAGTTATTTATTTATTTATTTTTTTTTTTTAAACGTTGCCCCACACTAGGATTTTCTCCTGTGTCGTGGGTGCGTTTACAAACATACAAGTTCACATACACAATATTAGTGAGTCATACACAGTTATTAGTGAGGCCGTGATACCACGTGCGGACCCAGGTATCGGGCATACTAGTGACAGCATCTCATTCCTCTTTTTCACCGGAACTCTAATCTCCTAGCTTACCAATGTCAAAGTCAAAATCATTTATTTAAATTAGACCAGGAAGGCACTTTTGAACGTCAAAACAAAATGTTTAAATATTAAATAGTAGGAAAAAATGTCAGTCTATAGGTTATCTTCTAGTGAAGTTACTTGCTGGTTCCAAAGTGTAGATTCCTAATATGGAGAAGAACGAGCAAGAAACCCCATAGGTTATTTACCTTTTTCAATGATATTGACAACACAATTTACAAGTTCGTTTCGAAAATGAAATCTCACATTCAAACTCAGTTACCCAAGTCAACTTAATAGAGAAAACGCCATGGAAGGTTCCTAGTAATCAAATTCAGTGGAGATTCAATCAGTAGTGGACCAATATTATTGTTTACTTAACTTGTTTATATCCTTCGTCAACTAAACATTTCTCAGCTAAAGCCGTATCTAACGACGGTAATGAAATTAGGAGGATGGCTTTATGTATCTAACATTCACATCAAACCACTTAAAAAGGCGAAATTCTTCATTACATTTTTTACCTTATGTTGTAGTTTCAAGGTTGATAATCTGTAAAATATATTTTCAGTTGTGGGATAGCTTGATGTGCTTGGTGTATCTCACGTGGAACGCCAAGCCCGACATTGCTGAGCGTCAATTATGTCAATATAGAAGGTATTTGGATTGCGTTTGTCAATAGTTAATAAGTAAAGAAAAGGAATTTCCGTCTGGCTCTGGTGCTCATTTAATTAATCGAGTTTACTTGGCTTTTATTTTTTGTGGTTGGTCGATCTGAATGATGGACATTTCTTGTATTAATGCACAATGTGGTTAGGTAGGTACCTAATGTATTTTGTTAAGCAGTGAATGTCTAACAGAAAGGTTTCATACGAACTTGTAAAAACAATAAACCATGAAATATGATGTTAAAATATCAATTTATACGAAAATGTTGATTCAAACATAGAGTAACGATTACTTAAAATAACAAGCGAAATTGGAGTTCAAAGTCTAATAATTTTATTTAGGTAAATACTAACAAACAGTTTAAAAAGCGATTCATGATACAATACGTTTCTATTAGAAGGAAACCATTAACACAACAACCGATATGATTTCCCCAGTGCCTTACCTAACATTCGGTTTATTTAATTTTCTTGGATTCGAACCGATAGGTGTCGATTGAAGTATGTGTTTAACTGAATAAATAAGTAGATCGGTGTCCTTAGCAAGCACTTAATGAATAGCTGGGTGCTTGGTATATTGAACTATTGTGTAACAATCGTCTGTCTTCCTAATTATGTTAAGTACAATGGTACAATAATCTCAGTGTTTCATAAGTAGTTTGCGGAGTACTACTCGAAGCGACAAATCGTTTCTACGCCAGAGGGTTCTGATGACTGATTGGTTGGTTCATTGAAAGCGGCCAATCAGAGCGCCTAACATAATTATTTTTATGGGGTAAAACGGTAAACGAACAGGCGGATCACCGGATGGTAAGCAATCGACGTCGTCCATGGACACCTGGAACACCAGAGGCGTTACAAGTGCGTTACCGGCTTTTTGAGGATTGTTGGGGATTCAGGGATTGGAAAAGGGGGGAAGGGGTAATTGGGGCTTCGGTAACCTCACTTACACAATGAAACACAACGCGAGCGTTGTTTCACGTCGGTCTTCTGTGATGCCGTGGTATCACTCCGGTCGAGTCCCCCCATTCGCGCCGAAGCAGGGCTGTCCCACACTAACAGTCTCGTTATGATAATTTTAAACGTAAAATAAACTCGTCTTAAGGTTTCAGATATATGCGCACTTGTTTGTGCACATCGTGTGACTAGGACATTTGATGCTATTTTATCCGTGCCACACAAAGTGAACACTTATGAATGAAGTAAATGAGTGTCCACAGTCATGTCTGGCGAGAGCATTAGAGTAAGATTTATTTTATATTTGATAGGCCGTCGTTTGACCACTATCTCGGCTGGTGGTAAGCGATGATGCGGCATACGGTGAATGGAGCACGTCTGCCCATAAGCAACCTATTCATTCGGAATTTGAAGACAGACTCTGGCAAAGAATTCCACTCCTTAGTAGTACTCACAAGGAAGCTTGATGCGAAGCGCTTCGTGCGTGATTGTGGGGACATCCACCATGATTCGGTGACGATTCTCCGATTTTCTTGTGGTATGATCTTGAAAAGGACTAGGGGGAATAAAGTAGCAAGATGTAGCTTTGATATTTGTTTACATAACAATAATAAATTAGTAACGTACCTTCAATAACCTTCCATACCCGCATGGTTACTTAATTAGAATAGCGAAGTA